GTGGCTGACTCTTAACTTTTATAAAGAATATCTCTTTGGATTTGAGACTTTAGTCTTTGCAACTTTACAGATCTTCTTTATGCACCAAGAGCTTGTAACACTCCAAAGAGAAAGGAAAAATTGAAATCGCATCATATGACCCCTTTATATTGTTGTTTAGTCTGTTGTTTCATATACTGTATAACAGCGGTTACAGTTAATCTGTATGAGAAAAAATAAGCATGAAATTATATATTTTAAAAAAACATTTAGCTTTTATATTGCCGTTGTATTAAAACCAAAAGAAGTAGTTAAAATATTGTCTGAAAAATATTAACTAGTAGTTTTATTTATAGCGAGGTGTTCATATTATGATTAGTTTTATTATGATTAGTTTTATTACTAATAATTTAATTATTTGAATTTACGTATTATTATTTTTAAGTACAAATATCTTGTTCTGACCTTTGGTTTCTCTTTCTGTAGCTTCACAATCTGCTCAGTCAGTTGCCTATGGAAGCTTGTATTCATCTGCAGGTAAATGCACCTCAATGTATGTTTTTTGGCATATTACTAAACAATTAATTATTGGTTTACAAGCCTCATCAGTTCTGACAAAGTCAATCAAACACATACAGTACAGCTTACAACTACCTGTGATTCTAGAATGTTTTTTTGATTGTTTAGTCTTTTGTTTCACATATTTTATAACAGCTCTTGTGTGTAAAGACATTTTAATTGTATGAGGAAAAATGGCATGAAATTATTTAAAAAATAGCTTTTATATTTTCATTGTATTAAAAGCAAAAGAAGTGATTAAAATGTTGTCTGGAAAATATTTGCTAGTAGTTTTATCATTTATGTCTTTAAATTATTCTTTTAAGAACAAATATATGAACTCATAAAGACAAATGTCATATTTGAATATTTCTTTTTATAACACATCGGATTCATTAACATTCAGTAGAAATGACAAAATTCTAAAAACAGCTCTTGTATCTCTATATATGGGGTGTGATGGAGTGTATATTATAATCATAATTGAATAGAATGATAGACAAAATGACATATTATTGAGGTCGGGCCTGTAGGTTTCCAGAGATGTTTTGGGATGTGTCTGTTCTTGGCTGTTTCTCCAGATTTGTATTTGTTCTGATCTTTAGTTTCTCTTCCTGTAGCTGCACAACCTGCTCAGCCAATGGCCTATAATGCACCGTTTTTGGGATGGCTGCCAGTGCAAGGTAAATGTACCTCAATGTAACATTTTTGTGAAAGAGTAAAGTATAAAATGTTTAAAGCAGTGATTGTTGTTTTTCATGACTTATTACAAAATTGGTTTATTTAATTATTGGTTAATTTAATTGTTTATTCTTTTAATTAATTTTTGAGCACTAAAGTTCTTCATAATATTAAAACTGTTATTTAATGCATCAGTTTAGTGTGATTAATTACAAAAAATGACAAGATAAGAAGAACAAGCTTCACCTTGAAAGATAAATTATATTGAGACTTTCTTCCGTCTGTTGCATTTTGTGTGTGTGTGTGTGTGTGTGTGTGTGTGTAAGTGGGTTTGCATGGGAAGAATTGGTTTTTATACTGAATATATTGTCAGGTGTGGGAAAGGGATGAGGCAAGGAATCAGTAAGTGTGAGGGCTTTATTGAAGTAAAACAAATAATAATAACATGACAATAAACATGACAGACCTAGTGACAGGATCCTGACACACTTGTAAAGTCATTTGAATGCTTTAAGTCACAGTTAGGTAAATGTGCCTCAATGTTAGTTTTGTGAAGGAATGAAATGTTTGAAGCACTGATTGTTGTTTTCATGTCATGTTACACAAAATGGTAACCCAGGTCCGGGTTGGCCATCGGGAGCACCGAGAGAAATCCCTGACTGATTTGGCCCATAGCACTTACAGTGTAGCTCCGAACCTAAAAAGAAATGGCTTGAAACAGGCAACAGAAGTGGGGTTTGTTTGTTTTTTGTTGTGTGTAATTGGGTTTGTATGGGAATAAGTTGCTTTTATATGTAAAGGTTTTATGTGTTTTTCCATGAGTGTGTTTTATAGTAAGGATGGTGCCCCAAATCACACAGACATGTCACGTAATTAATTTTCTTAATGTGTAATCAGTTGACAACCCTGTTTGTGTGTGTGTATGTGTGTGTGATGTGCGAGTGAGATGTTCTGCTCTCTGTTCATTTTTCGCCTTGTCCTTAATGTATGCATATGTGTGTGCAGCTGCTCCTGAGCCCCAGAAGGACCCGTTACTGCAGCTGGTTTCTCTCCAAAAGGCATCAGGCTGCTGGGATCTGGACGCCACACTGGCTGATGTGTTTGGGAAGACGGAGGATGAGCTGACCAATCAGAAACCAGCACAGGTGAGAGATGTGATGAAATAATAAGACAGTGATGATCGTGTCCGGTGTCCTGTAACTAATGCAGTGGATGATGGTTTGTACACAGGTGGATGGGTCAGTGTGGGCCACTCTCCTGGCTCTGATCTGGTTATACGGCTGTAAAATAGAGCAGCAGGTGGAGTGGCAGTTTGTGGCCATGAAGGCAGCGTCATGGATCGGCTCTCAGAAAGGTGAGATCTCCATTCCAGACCACATTCATTCAGTCAGCGTTCATCAAGAGACGTTTGAGCAAATATCTTCAGTTCTATCCGGCGATCACCATACTGTTGTATTCCCTCAGCGACCAGCATGGATCAGCTCTAGGCATGATGAAGCAGATATCGTCCTCTTTTGGAAGACCAAACAAAGTAGTTTCGCTTTCACAACGAAACACACAGCGCCTTCACGACATGGTGGCAACAACAATACTACAGCGAGAATAAAAGCTACACTTTCTATCTTTGTGTGAACATTTGGGTGGCGTTATGCAAATCTTCCCACACAGTGACATAGACATGTGGGGGCGTGTTTGAATGAGGCGTTTTAGGTAGGTGTGGCTGACTCTTAACTTTTATAAAGAATATCTCTTTGGATTTGAGACTTTAGTCTTTGCAACTTTACAGATCTTCTTTATGCACCAAGAGCTTGTAACACTCCAAAGAGAAAGGAAAAATTTTAATTGCATCATATGACCCCTTTAAGCCATTTTTGCTTATGAATGAAGAATTTTGCATTCAATGTAAGAAAATTAACAACATATTCAACCGATAATAGCTTTGGATTTTCATAATAAAATATAAGATCTTTGAGGACGAAGGTATGGGACACATTTGTAAGGTTAGAAACATAGGTTAGAAATTTAGTCCGACTTGAACCGGCGCCAACTCTACGTCACTGTCACGTGTGGCATCAAAGTACCGCGATAGCGTTTCGAGAGCAGCCGGCTGACTCAGCTGGCGCAGCTTTTTCAGAGCGACTGCAGGAGTGCTGATGACGACACAGCTGTTTCACGATTGGCCAAATTGACCACATGACAACAATGACGCGTGTTTCTAACATCTTCAAATCCAATACTGCTCATAAATCGGTGTTTTTAGAACAGAAAAAGCTTTTTTACTGTAGTCGCAATGTTATATTGAGTCACGTTTATCATGAAAGCATATATACCCCCACTTTATTAGTATTTAATAGTATAAATTTACGTTGAACTTTATTTTTGAACGGATGGCGCTGTTGCTCATGAAAACGTTTCTGAAACGTCTGTGTATTTGACAAATATTGCATTTAATTTACTTCATCTGTGATAGAGTATGAAAACACCACGTGAGCGTCACTAACAGGAGCAGAAAAATGTCCGGCTTGACGGCTCCGTTTTTCAACTCCGCCCTACACCCGCCGCTACTCTCGTTGATCGCCGTCTGTAGCCGTGCTTCAAACATAGACTGTATAAAAACATGGACGTAGTGTCCGTGACGTCACCCGTAGGTTTCCGAAGAACGTTTTTGAAGCTCAAAGTGGGCGGAGCCGGCCGTCGCCATCTTGGCAGCACGTCACCACAACGCACTCCTGGATAATTGAAAATGGGCAAAAAGGCGGGAACTGGTTGCTGAAACCACGCCCACCTAGCTCGATGCCGGTGACAGCAGCGGCAATCCACCTGTCACTCAAGTAGCCACGCCCTTAATTATGCAGAACTTTAAGGCTTAATATAATTTAATCGGATGAGTTATAAAAAAATCCACCCCCCTCACAGTTGTCATGAAGGGCAAAATTAGCTATATAGTATATAATATAAAATTATATATAATTTTTTTAACCAGGCTGTAAACATGTTTTTTTCTGCTGTAAAGTTGGGCATTTAACATGGGGAGTCTATGGGACTGACTCCCTTTTGCAGTCAGCCTCTAGCGGCCAGTCGATGAATTACAGTTTAAGTCACTTCCGTGTTGGCTTTTATATCGTTATAAGCATCAATCAAGATGGCGGAGAAAAAAAATTAACATCTTGTTTTAACCACGGACACAAAAGTTATACCATAATTCATGCACAGTCATGTCAACCAGATACTGAGAGAGAGACACAGTGCATCATCGTGTCATGTGTGCTGGGATGCAGTATTTTGTACTTACTTTGTAGTAATAGTGTGTTGACTGAAATAAGTTTGTATGAATAAAGTTTTTGTTTTTGGAGAATCATAATATCTCTTATCTGTTGTATTTGAGCAGGACAGGGATGCACTTTGGTGACACATAAAACAAATTCCCAACATTGTGTGTCTTTTGTGTCTTTCCATCATGTTTGATGTGCTTGCAGATCACAAGCATTTCCTAATTTCACTTCAGAATTTTTTGTTATACTTAATCTTTTGTTATATTTTTTATACTGTCATCATTTGTAAAGTATATATATATATATATATTTACTTTCCTTTACCTTTACCAAATTTACCTGTATTTACTTTGTTTTCATATTTGGCGACTTTCTGTTAAAAATTGAGACTTTTGAGGGTGGGGTTTGGCAACACTGACACACACACAGCAGTGAACACACACACACACCGTGAACACACACCTGGAGCAGTGGGCAGCCATTTATGCTGCGGGGCCCTGTCAGTGCCTTGCTCAAGGGCACCTCAGTCGTGGTATTGAAGGTGGAAGAGAGCGCTGTACATTCACTCCCCCCACCTACAATCCCTGCCGGTACGAGACTCGAACCCACAACCTTTGGACGAGACAACAGTATCCGAAATGTTCCTAAATACATCCAACTTTATTTTTGAATTCAAACTCATCAACTGCACCTACAGAATGCTCACAAAAATCAGTCAAAAAGTTGATTTGTGATGTTTTCTGCTTTATTTGAAATTTATTTGTAATGTTGTTTTGTTGTTTTAATGTTGTTCTGCTGTATTTGTGATGTTGTTGTTGTGTGACTCAGTGCCTCTGAAGAGCATCTCAGTGCAGGTTCTGGTTCAGGATCATGTAGCCACAGTCTCCTCCACTCTGCAGTATGTGAATGAGGAAGAGCGCCCCCTGGAGGCCTTGTTCGTCTTCCCTCTGCCTGCGGATGCTGCTGTCTGCCACTTCAGTGCCAAGATCGGAGAGCAGGAGATTGTAGCAGAGCTGCAGGACAGAGAAACTGTGAGTCCAAATATACACCCGCAGCTCTGTTGCATACAGTTTTAATGTGCATCTCGTAACAAACCGTATCTTGCAGGCGAGGGATCAGTATGATGATGCTGTGAGTTCGGGTCAGCAGGCGTTTCTGTTGGAAGAGAGCGCAGAGAGTCCTGATGTGTTCAGACTGAGTGTCGGGTGTCTGTCGGCGGGTCAGAACGCTGCTGTCACCATCATCTACGTCACCGAGCTCGCTGTGCAGGCCGATCACTCGCTGCGCTTCTGTCTGCCGACTGTACTCAACCCCCGATACACACCAGCAGGTACTGCAGCAGCTGCTGACACACACTTTATTAGAGGAGAGAAGCTGATTCTAACACACTCTGTGTGTGTGTGTGTGTGTGTGTGTGTGTCAGGTTCAGGTGCTGGTATCGTCTCAGAGATTTCATCAAGATGTGGAGCTGTTCCCTACACGCTGACTCTCAGTGTCCATGTGAGCTCTCCAAAGCCCATCTCCAAACTAGAGTCCAACTGCTCTCTGGATCCTCTAGAGTTCCTCCACTCTGATCACACTCAGGCTACGGTACTGTGTGTCTTCATGTGTTTATCTGGATGTGTGAGCAGAGCAGTTTAATGCATGTGGTGTTTATGTGTGCAGGTGGATCTGAGTCCTGGTCACATGTTTGATAAGGACTTTGAGCTGTTTGTGTTCTATCAGGATACCCATCAGCCCTCTGCTATAGTGGAGGCAGGAGTGACCACTGCCCCGCCAGGTGAGGGGGGAATCAGACAACTATGTTAGATGACAAAATAACCTCAAAATTAAAAAAGTAAAAGGTAGAGTATAGAGTGCATAGTGTAGAGTGTGTCATTTGAGGCGTAGCTTTTCTCTCTATTTCAGGCTCTCTGATGAGGGACCCAGTGAGGCAGGAGTGAGCAGTGTTCATACAGCCTTCATTGCTGTTAATAAAGACAGCAGACAGACTGTGAAAGGACCCCTGCAGCAGAGAAGAGTGTCAGCATACAGTTAGTGCTCTTATTGTGTGTGTATAAGTCACTTTTACTGTCATTTGACTATTGGATGTTTACACTGATGTGTTCACCTCTTTAAGATCTTTCAGATTACCATCACACACTTACTGCGCCAATTTGTGGTAAGACAAACAACAGTCTGTCATTTGTATGTAATGATACACATTACCTGCCAAAAGTTAATTGAACTTGAGCTTTAGTCACACTTAAGGTTTTCATAATTTATGTTTGTAAACAAATAATAATTTATAATTCAATTTGTGAAAGGGCCCCTGCTGCAGGGAAAAGTGCCGACACACATTAGTCTCTCATTGTGTCTATATGTGAACTTGAGAGGATATCTGTGACCATTTTTATAATAATTTTGCAACCAATGTTACTATCACATAGATTTGAGATATTTGCTGGGTACAGTTAATCAAAATCAAGGGTTCAAATTTCTGGAACCGTTTAGTGCTCTGATTATGTTTAAATAAGTGACTGGACTGTTTACTGCAGTACATTTAATTTGTTCTTTTGAAAGCAAATTTGTTTTGATATGTACTGTATAGAGTCCTACAGCGCCAATATGTGGCAGTGTCTTTTCAAGCACCACATTTTCTTCAGAAAATATTAAAATACAGTTAAAATTAGGATTAAAAAATGTCATGCAATGTAACAGTTTACATTTTGTGTGTGTACAGCTCATTAAGATTAAATTAATTTGTTTTTTAGGGCTGTCTTTAGGGAACCATTGCCCAGTAGGTGGTACTATAGACTGTTCTTTGCATGTCAGTGCTGTTTTAGTGCTCTGTTTGTGTCTGTATAGATGTGTGTTTTGTCTGTTTGTCTGACAGCAATGATTTCAAATACACTTCACTTGTTTGTCACTTCATAGTTTACGACATTTGATGCGTTGACTGCATTATGATGTGGTAAATGGTTCTTTTCTATCTGTTGTGTGTGGCGGTTTCTTGTGTCTCCATAACAATCCATCCCTATTCCAAACCTAATCTTGTTTGTTAGTCCTTTTGGATATTTCTGTTCTTGACTATTTCTCCAGATCTGAATCTGTTCTGACCTTTGGTTTCATTGCCTGTAGCCCAGACGATCATCACAACCACGAGGTAAATGCACCTCAATGTAATAATTCTGTGAAGTATGAAATGTTGTTTTCAAGGTGTATTACAAAATTGGCATGTTTAATTATTGATTTACCATCCTCCCCAAACCACACAGCTAATGAGATTTCAGAATGAGTAAGAAAACATTCACACGGGAACTGCTTTTGTGTTTAAAGCCAGCTCGTCAAACCGCAACAGAGTAAAACAGAAAGTAGGACATTTTCAAATGTTGAAGTACATTTATCTTGACACCACATCTAAAAACCGCAGCCCACATGGATTAAGACAGAGAAAAACAGTGAGACGCCACACAAGAGCCAAAGACACAAGTCTGCATGAAACAGACAGCGTGACCAGTGTAGTCTGATTCCAGAACAAATTACTAATGAAGCGGTTCTTTTTAGTGAATCACACATACAGCCTACAGCTATCTGAGCTACTTAAATCAATGTAGTTACTGACTGGTAGTTCATATGACAACATGCAGTAAAAAAAACATTCATTTTAGCACATTTTTTGTTTAGAATTGTTGTTTAGTCTTTTACTATTAATCTTTGTTCTGAATCAAGAAAGAAAACACAAGTAATTTATTGTATTTGTTTTGGAAATATGTTTCTTAAAGGGATAGTTCATCCAAAAATGAAAATTGGATGTTTATCTGCTTACCCCCAGGGCATCCAAGATGTAGGTGGCTTTGTTTCTTCAGTAGAACACATTTGATGATTTTTAAGTTAAACCGTTGCAGTCTATCAGTCGTATAATGCATGGCAATGGTAACAAAATCTATGAGAGTAAAAAAAACATGCACGGACAAATCCAAATTAAACCCTGCAGCTCGTGACGACACATTGATGTCCTAAGACACGAAACGATCGGTTTGTGCCAGAAACCGAACAGTATTTATTTAATTTTTTACCTCTAATACACCACTATGTCCAACTGTCTTGAGCGCGCGCACGGCATCCGGTGCGTGAGGTGTGTACGCGCTCTGGCGTAGTTTGCGTTAATGGGTGTGTTGATATCCAGCCGAAGAGCAATCAACCATAACTTCAGGCGAGCAGGCTCAGAAGTTGGGAATACGTGGAAAGTCACCACTCCCGAATGAGTTTGCGCGAGAGAATGTAATCTTTTAGTTTTAAGTCGGTTTGAACAATCCGGATAAGCGCAAGTAAGTGCCATTTTGATTAGCCGTCGTACCTACAATGACGTATGATGTAAACAATAAGTGACGTATACGTGCAAGAGATCACTTCCAGCGCTCGCGTAAACTACGCCAGAGCGCGTACACACCTCACGCACCGGATGCCGCGCGCGCGCTCAAGACAGTTGGACATAGTGGTGTATTAGAGGTAAAAAATTATATAAATACTGTTCGTTTCTGGCACAAACCGATCGTTTCGTGTCTTAGGACATCAATGTGTCGTCACGAGCCGCAGGGTTTAATTTGGATTTGTCTGTGTGTTTTTTTTATCTCATAGATTTTGTTACCATTGCCATGCATTATAAGACTGATAGTCTGCAACGGCTGGAGTTAAAAATCATAATTTGTGTTCTACTGAAGAAACAAAGTCACCTACATCTTGGATGCCCTGGGGGTAAGCAGATAAACATCACATTTTCATTTTTGGGTGAACTATCCCTTTAACTGGAATTTAATTCCAGTTCACTAGCTCACTATGCACTGAATATACACGGTGTACTACTTATTATTCTTAAAAAAAAGTTTCATGTGAGTGGCTTCTAGTTTTCATGTTGAAAGTAAAAACATTTTGCCTTTTTAATTTCAATTTGAGTAAAAATGTCTCAACTTTTCGCCGTACAAATAAATCAGTCAACAAACAGATGACAAGTGCCACTTTTCCAAATTCAGTTAAAATGATAATTTCAACCTACTGTAGTTCATTGTCATGTAACAGTTTACATTTAGTATGAGCAGATTATTGAAATGTATTTGGTTTTTAGAGATGGATTATGGAGCCTTGTCTTGTAAGATAAATAATATAGACTCTTCTTTTCAGTCTCGTGTCAGTGCTGTTTTAATGCTCTGAATGTGTCTGTATGCATGTTTTTTGTATTTTCCCTAACAGCAAGTATTCCACATGCTTTTCTCATCACTTTACAGTTGAATTTGAGGTGTTGATTTGACCTCATTAAGATGTGAAATATACAGTTTTTTGTTTTAGGGAGGATGTGGTAAGTGGTTCTTTTCAATCTGTGGGTTTCTTGTACCTACAAGAATGTGTTTGTGGTATTTGATAAGACAAACGTCACAACATCAATTCAGTAGCATTCACTAGAAATGACTGAGTGCTAAAAGTGCTGAGTGTACCTCTTTTTTATGGGTTCATTGACAAACAAAACAATACAAAAGCCATAGCAAAACTGTTTTGGGCCAAAAATTAACATCAATTCAGTAGCATTCACTAGAAATGACTGAGTGCTAAAAGTGCTGAGTGTACCTCTTTTTATGGGTTCATTGACAAACAAAACAATACAAAAGCAATAGCAAAACTGTTTCGGGCCAAAAATGTCCATTTCAATCCTTCCCTATTCCAAAGCTTTTCTTGTTTGTTAGGTCTGTTGGATGTGTCTGTTCTCGGCTGTTTCTCCAGGTCTGAATCTGTTCTGATTTTTGCTTGTAGGCGCTGAACTTGCTCAGCAAATGACATCTATACGTCCTAAGTCTAAATCACTGCTGGGTAAGTGCACTTCAATGTAGTATTAGGTTTGTGAAAGAGTGAAGAATGTGACATTTGGCGAACTTATTGTTTTCATTGCATTTCACAAAATAGGTTTACAAGCCTTACCAAGCCACAGCACTAAATAGAGAGCATTAAATAGCTCCTTGTCACTTAGCAGTTAACAAGATGTGAACTTAATTTCTTTTTAGGGAAACTGGGTCAAGCCCTGTCTCGTAATCATGGTAAGATAAATCATACTGACTACTCTTCGTCTTCTCTTATGTGTTTATGTATTTAGGTGTTTTAATTTTTAATGCATGTTGTTTTTTCTTTAGTGGTAGTGAGATCCCTTGTATTATGAGGATCTGCAAGAAATAAAAATGCGGTCACATTTCAGATCTTTTCTTGTTTGCTTATTTATTATTTGCATTTCTTCACTTTTTGTGCAACATATTTTTTGACAGATTCTAAAAAGTTTAGACGCTCAAGGATGATGGCTGATTATTATGACAGTGACATCTGTTCTGCATCATTGGCAATAAAGGGTGAATGGACCAAACATAGACACTGAAGTCCCCTTCACATATCAACTGACATTGTGATGTACTTTATTTGTCTAGATTTATGCAGAATCTCTCTCTTTATTTTTAATAAACAAATGTTTGTTATTTGCTTTGATCGTAAATGTGTTTTTTCCATTTGAGCATTTTCAGTCTTTTACTGATAAACATTGCTCTGAAACAAGTAAGAGAAACATAAAATCATTTTAGAGAACTCATTGATGGTTTTAAGAATGTATTTGCTCAGTTTTGCTGTAGAGGCATGCATTGTCTTGTTTTTCATCTTTTCCATTTATGTTGGGCTTCAATGTTTTATGAGGACTTTCCATATACATAATATTTTTTATACTGCACAAACTGTATATTGTATTCCCTTAAACATAACCCTCACTTACAAACAAAAACAAAACAAAAAAATATAATGTAGTATGAGTTATAATCTGTTTTCCTCATGGGAACCAAAAAAAATGTTTCCTGTTTTTATATAAGTGTGTGTACAGATACTGCTACCCTGTTACTTGTTTCAGTCAAATTTAGTTTAGAAAAATTGTATTTGCTCAATTCTACACCAAATTCTATATATGTGACCTGCACCGTTTGAGTTTTATGTACCAAAGTAAAAAAAAAACATATATAATAATGTTTCCAAGATGTTTGCTGTTTTGAAATTTAAAATAAGTTGAATAAAATTAATATTTTAAATGACATTTCTCCTGGTTTTTGTTTGTCTGTCAGTGATTCACTAAAGCTGTTGGTCTTCAATCACTCAATCAGGATACTTTCACACAGCAGTACACTCTCAGAAATAAAGGTACAACAGCTGTCACTGGGGTGATACATTTTCAAAAGGTACACTTTTGTAAATATTAGGTTCTAATATGTACACTTTAAGTACCAATATGTACCTTTAAGGTACCAAAATGGACCCTTTAGGTTCAAATAAGTACCTTTTGAAAAGGTACCACCCCAATGACAGCTGCTGTACCTTTATTTCTGAGAGTGTAGAATCATGAGTGCTAAATATGGTTTTCAATATTTCAACACGCTTAAAATTAGGAAAAATAAAGAGATGTCATAGAAACTTTTCTAAAGTATATATACATGAAAACTAGAATGACTGTTTCTCGAAAAGACGAGAGGAAAATTACCTTTACCAAAGAATTATCCATTCATGTTGAATCTTGATACGATTAAAGGCGTCATATGATGTTGCTAAAAAAAACATTATTTGGTGTATTTGGTGTAATGAAATGTATTTATGCGGTTTAAGGTTCAAAAAACATTATTTTCCACATATACTGTACAATATTGTTTCTCCTCTATGCTCTATGATTTTTACAAAGCTCATCGTTGATTGTGTATTGATAACTACGCTGACTACAATCACATTTTATTCTGGGGAGTGATGAAGAGACAGCATTAATATTTTTTATAATATGCTTATTATTTATAATACAATTAGCGTAGTATTTAGGGTTAAAATAGATCAAATGTTTTTAAATGCCAGTGCAAAGAGGCAAAATAGAGGCGTTTGGTGGCCAGAAAAATAATATTCCTATGTAATGCCATGGTTTAACCACTAGATGCACGTATGACTGTTTAATAAATAAAGCCTACATATATTTAGCTCTACTCTAGTTGCTGTAAAGGGTTTTACCGGTCATAATAGCTTATTTATTTATTTTATGTTTTGCATTGTATATTTAGACATTATCAAACACTCAATGCTTATAAGTTTGGCTTTTTTAAAAATGTTGAATTTAAAAAGATGAATTACTCACATCCCAGTATTATTTTATGACATTTATGTAAGAAGACAATAGAAGTGAATGTAAAAAAGCACAAGGCAACCAACAGCATTGAGGGAAACTCTTTCTTGTATTCCTTTAATGGGCAGTCTTCACTGAAACTCATTCAACTTCCTACAGGGAGAGAAAGCTTGCAGAAAGACTAAACACTTAACAATATGACAACTAGCATCTGGTTATGATCGCTGTTAAGGTGAAATGTTCACGCAAAGAAAGAAGGCGTAACTTTTATTCTCGCTGTATTATTGTTGCCACCGCCATGTCGTGAAGACGCTGTGTGCTTCGATGTGAAAGCTAAACTACTTTGTTTGGTCTTCCAAAAGAGGACGATATCGCTTCGTCATGCCTACATTTCAGGCGAGGCGAGGCGCATCTCAAACAAGCCTCTTAGTTGCAAACAGAGCCGTTGAGAAACAGAGTTGCGACCACTGATCTATATATAATAATTCTCTATTATAGATCAGTGGTTGCGACACGCTTTGATTTCGCCGCCACGCGGTCACGTGGTTCATGGAGCTCTCAATAGTTCCAAACAACTCGGAGCTGTCAATATGTTTGAATGGGTTTAAGTGGGATAGACAGCAGTTTCACTATATTTGCAGCAATTTCTAGTGATTATTAACACATCATGTGCATTGATTGTGTATTGATAACTACGCTGACTACAATCACATTTTATTCTGGGGAGTGATGAAGAGACAGCATTAATATTTTTTATAATATGCTTATTATTTATAATACAATTAGCGTAGTATTTAGGGTTAAAATAGATCAAATGTTTTTAAATGCCAGTGCAAAGAGGCAAAATAGAGGCGTTTGGTGGCCAGAAAAATAATATTCCTATGTAATGCCATGGTTTAACCACTAGATGCACGTATGACTGTTTAATAAATAAAGCCTACATATATTTAGCTCTACTCTAGTTGCTGTAAAGGGTTTTACCGGTCATAATAGCTTATTTATTTATTTTATGTTTTGCATTGTATATTTAGACATTATCAAACACTCAATGCTTATAAGTTTGGCTTTTTTAAAAATGTTGAATTTAAAAAGATGAATTACTCACATCCCAGTATTATTTTATGACATTTATGTAAGAAGACAATAGAAGTGAATGTAAAAAAGCACAAGGCAACCAACAGCATTGAGGGAAACTCTTTCTTGTATTCCTTTAATGGGCAGTCTTCACTGAAACTCATTCAACTTCCTACAGGGAGAGAAAGCTTGCAGAAAGACTAAACACTTAACAATATGACAACTAGCATCTGGTTATGATCGCTGTTAAGGTGTTTCTCGCGTTACCTAACTGCAAATATAGCTTAACTGCCTATTATCTAAAACTAAACATTAACTATAACGCGTTTAATAAAATACAACTAGGCTACTGGCCAGATTTCCGAGAGGTAAACTAATGCGTTAAAATGCCAAAAACTGCTGTAATTTCCTCAACTTTCCAAGAGTGCTTGACAAGCACTGAAATGAATGGGTTTCATTACTGGAGCTATTTTAAAAAAAAAAATTTTATTAAATTTTTTTTTTATGGCAGTAAACAACAAAGATTTACTGGAGCTATTGTTCTTTTTTT